AGCACCGGGCTGTGCTTAATCAGAGACTGTTCGGTTCTCTCTGGGGATGTGGACTGTGGGGCATCGCCCCGACCACTGCTCTGCCCCTTACTGCCCTTCCACGCCAGCTCTGGCGACTACAGACTCCCATTTGACTCTAATTTAGAAGCTTTCCTGTCAAAGTGTTTACTTGGAAGTGTAACTATGTAGTAATCTAATACACCATATCTACATCTTTAAAACACCTTTTCTTTACCTCAAAGAGTGTAACTTGCAAAGTTTCTGGAGCTCATCAAACGCATTTTTATTTGTATTTTTTTAGGTATTCTGCTCATATCAACATATGAGCTACAAGATCATAAATAGGAAAAATTGAAGCTCTCAAGGAGCTAGTACACTGACTCTTGAATTTTCTCTGTGGGAAAAGCATGAACTGGAATATGACTTTAGGTCTTTTTAAAAACTGTAAGAGATATATAGACAGATTTTATTGTTACTTTGTATCTTTGCTAAACTTTGTAAATTGTTAATTCATGCATCCAATGCTTATTTATTAGATATCGATAAATAATTTTGCTATGAGGATGCTCTCCAGGAGATAGAAAAACGTTGCAAACTCAAGGTTGGGCCAAAAGTTTGACTGCTAGAATTGTGCTCTTCTTAAATTGGTTGCCTTATTCCAATGACTGAAATGTGACCTAATATTCCTGCAACTAAATGAAATATTTCAAATGCAACACTCTATCCCTCTAATATGCCTTCCATTTGACTTTGCTACATAATTTAGCTTCCTTCCATTCTTTGATATTCATCTCTTTTTTGATTAACTTTTTGTCTCAAAGCCTCTGGTTCCAATAATAGTGACATGGACACAGAGAAGTCAAGGACAATAATTTGAAGACACTACAATTATAACTAGGTATTTTAATTCCAAAACCACATATAGTACGGGGTTATTTTTTTTTTCCCCCTTTGAGAGAAAGGACAAAACTGTCAGTGAAAGGAATTCATGAAACAGCACAATGTACTTTACAATGGAATGGAGCAGAAGCAGGAGGCCCCTGGGGAGGGGAAAGACAATAACCCAGTGGGGGATGGTAAAGGCCAGATCAGGCTGAAGCAGAGTGGCTGTGTGGCACCCATCCTGACAGAGGTGGCTGTATGCCTCACATGGACATTATGTCCTCACAGGTTCTCTGTTGTCATTCTCAACATTACCATATTGAACCAGTCACTTGAGAAAATAGAACAGTTGCCATTCTCTCTCTCTCCTATACCCACACAACTTTGTCATCACTAAGGATGCTGAACTGAACCTGAAAGAATTTAAGAAATGTTCTTAACAGACCGTGCTTCAGAACTTTCTTATGCAAAGACTGAACTGTCGTTTTCAACATCAAGAATCATGTTTTCAGTAAAGTAACAGAATCATGATTTTTTTCCCCATCTACCTGGACTCACCTTTCTGGGGTCTCCTAGTTGAGTTGGCACCTGCCAGAGACTGAGAAGCATCCTCAGGCTTCAGTCCTCCCCGTGTTTTCATGTCTAACTTGTCCTTACGGATGTTTCCAGTCCTCCGTTTTGCAGCTTTCAGGACCACATGCTTTAGATCTTGACAATGGAGTAGTTAACCTACACAGTTCAACTCACATATTCATAACTTACCAGATTTCTTTTTAAAATTCTGGGTGATGGGCCCTTCCTGGTGGCGCATCTGGTTAGGACGCAGCACTGCAAGCAAGCTTCAGCCACTTCAGTGTAAGTTCAATCCCCACTCCCTCACCCCAGGTGATCCGCATCATGGCAGACCTCTCCTGACCCGCCTGCTGCTCTCATCAGCGGTTTATTTAGTTGATCTGCCTGTTCTGCTCCCCACTCTGTCCCTGGTGAATCCTCTCACCCTCTGGATCTCTGGTCTGTACCCCAGTTCTGCATGAATAAATAAATAAATCTTAAAAAAAATTCTGGGTGATAATTCATAACACTGGCAATTTAATTCCACAATAGTCTTACTAGTTTAGTCTCCACAGTGTGCACAGTGTGCACACTCAGGGGAGTAAGTTCTGGGACTCTCGTCCCAATGGGTACTAGCTTGTACCCATTGACCAACATCTTCTCCCCAACCACATAATTTGTTTTTACTTTGTTAGGTCTCAATTATAAGTGATACCACTTAGTACTTGTCTTCTATATCTGGTTTATTTCTCTTAGTTCATGAGTTCACCTTGTTGGTTATTTCTCCAAGTTCACCCATTTTGTCATGCACGGGTGGGTTTCCTTCTCTGTAGCTTACTCATTCAGCAGAGCATATACCCCATTGTCTTTATCCTTTCATCATGTGTTGATGGTTTGTGTCCATCTCTTGGCTCTTAGAATAATATCACAACATAGGAGTTTGTATTTTCCTAACAGTTTGATGGTTCACTTCCTTTGAATATCTACTCAAAGCCTCTTCCACAAGGTGACAAAAATATTGAGTGTTTTTGTGGTGAATAAAAGAGGAAGATGAATTAAACAGGTTAAGAAAAGAATTAATGTTAACTAATTATAAGTATTCTTGCAGATGGCCTGGGAGGAACCCATTTCACTGCACCTGTAAGAGAACTACTCCCTGTTCATACTGCCAGCGTGTTCCCTGTGTCCTATAATACTGGTTACTCTTTGACAGCCCTTTGATCCTTTTCAAGTCCTGCTCCCCATAAGATGAATGCCCCTGTTTCCCTTGGACCCTCCTTCTCCCACCATTGTCACAGAATCAGTCATGCTTGTACACGATTACTAAATAAGTAGCAAGAGAGCACCTCAAGAACAGCCTCTTGCCCTGCAAACCTGCTCCATGACACATCTCCTAGGGGCACCCCCAGAGACGTGGGGACAAGTCTTTGCCCTCCAGATGAGTGCACATTTTATCTAGATTGAACATTGAGTCACATAGGGGAAAATTAGAAAAATCTTGCAGGAGGAACTAGATTTTCTCAAGGCAGAGTCTACACTATTGGCATTGACTTCCTTCCAAATGACCTAACTCCCTGAACACACACACAAACAGTGCATTTTACTTTTGGAAACAGGAGGTATAATCGCTCTTATTCCCTCCACCTCCTCCTCAAAACACATTTCCAGTTTAGAGAGGTGAAAAAGAAATTTAAGATTATACTTTTTTGCTATCCTACCAGTAAAATTTATGGTTGCAATATTGGAATTTAGGTTCACACTTCTTCAGATGTATGTTCAAACAATACTCAACAACAAACACTAATAATCTTTCAGAGGGATTTAACCTTCTGATGCTCATGTGTTGACCCATGATTCATGAGTATCTGTGTACCAACACTCATTCTCTATTGCTGCTGCCAGAAGCTTCACACTATCTATACCCCCAGTGTGAATGGAGCTTTGATGTCATTGTGGATGAGGCATTTCTAGAGGTGACAATGCTTTGATTTTACCTTAAACTAGAATTTTATTTGAGGAAAGAGAGATCCCGAGTCTATGTATGTGCCAACACTAAAAATATATCATAATAACACTGATAATAAATGAGACATGAATAATGGAAGGGTGAAAGTGGAAACAAGTGTCTTTACAAGAAAGAACCTCATAGAAAGTCAGCAGAGGAATCGCAGTCTGGAGAAGCTGGTGATGAGAAGTTTACAAGAGCAGATCATGAAGAAAATAAACACAATATGGGAAAACAGAGATAACTGAAGGCTTTTTATCCAACCTTGCACCTGTAACATCCAGTGTCTTCAGGCATTCTTTTCTTTCTCATTAAGAATGTATTCAGCTATTCCCTACTCTTTAAAACCTATATATATTTTTTAATTGAGGTAAAGATTAATTACTGGTATTCGTCTCCAGGGAATGTTACGATACAATAAAAGTGGCTAAGGCCCTCCCTGGTGGTGCAGCAGGTTAAAGCACTTCACTAAGAAGCTATAGCCACTTCTGCATGAGTTCAATTCCCGCCTGCCCCAGAGGTGACCACATGACAAGGCAGACCTCTCCTGACCCGCCCGCTGCTCCCCTCAGCAGTATACTTCGTCAATCTGCCTGTTCTGTTCCCCGCTCTGTGTCTGGTGAATCCTCTCACCCTCCACATCACTGGCCTGTACCCCAGTTCTGTATGAATAAATAAAATAAATCTTTAAAAAAAAAGTGGCTAAAATACAGACTAATTAATCATTTTATATAAAACTCTTTTTCAGTTATTCAAATGCCTCTCAAACCGTAACATTTATACTTTTTATGTTCACTTACAACCTGTATGTAGAGGCCTCCCTTGTGGCCCAAGGGGTAAGCCTCAGGCTATCACCCTGAAGTCACCTAACTGTGACTATGGCCAGAAAACAGACCCACTGGCACAGCAGAACCTTCCTGTTCCTCCTGCTGCTCAACTCAGCCATAGATTGCAATGTATCTGCCTGTTCAGCTCCCTACTCTGTCTCTGGTGAATCCTATCAACTTCCTCAACTCTGGACTGCACCCCAGTTCTTGCTGGTATTTATTCATTTACAAATCATCAAAGAAAGCATTAGAAAGATGGACTGCCATCTTCATTAATAAGCTAACTACACCCACAGTTGGGCTCCAATTCGTCTTTATGTTGCATCTATCTGTGTTTTTATAATGCCAATAATGTTCACAAGCAGATAAAACATCACTTATGAAACATGTATTAGTCACCCTTATTTTTCACAAGTTTGGATACCCATCAGTTTCAGACAATGTATTGATTCCTGAGATACTTATATGGATGTCATTTTTATAAAAAAAAAAAAGTGTAGAATTATTAAAAAAATAAACACAGCAGCAAAAACTTCATGATTTCAATGTATTATTTCAGATATTTCTGTATCTTGTATTAAACTTGGGATAACTTGAAATTTTAAAAGTACAATTTATTTGTTATTTGAGAGAAAATATATGTGATCACACATTCAAAGTAATTCAGAGCCTTAGCTAAACAGAAGAACATACAAATGGAATCTTAATATGAAACAGGTTAAGAATTGTTTTGATCAAGACACATTTGTCTTCTGTAGGAGCTTTTTCAAGGCCATCATAACATCCTTGTTTCTCAGACAATATATAATAGGATTAAACATTGGTATCAAGATGGTATAAAAAAGGGAAAGGTATTTGTCAATTCCTGTTGAGATAGTGGACTTAGGTTCCATATACACACTGATGCCGGATCCAAAGAATAGAACCACGACAATGAGATGGGAAGAGCAAGTGGAGAAGGCCTTGGCTCTCCCAGTGGCTGATGGCAGCTTCAGGATGGTGGAGATTATATTTCCGTAAGATACAAGTATCAACAAAAAAGGAACAGTGATATTCAAAGTAGTAATCACATAGATAATTGTCTCAATCAAGAAAGTGTCCCCACAAGCAAGCTGAACAACAGGAGGTACGTCACAGAAAAAGTGATTCAACTCATTCGATTTACAGAATGGTGAGGAGAAAATCATGTGTGTGGGCCCTATGGGGACCAGAATCCCTGTGATCCAGCAGGCAATTGCCAACTGCACACACAGTCTCTGGTTCATGATGACAGGGTACATTAATGGGTTACAGATGGCAACATACCTGTCATAAGCCATGGCAGTGAGAATTAAGCACTCAGTGGACCCAAAGGAAACGAATATATCCATTTGAAAAGCACAGGTCACAAAGGAAATACTTCTATTTTGTCTACAAAGATCTGCTAATATTCTGGGTAGAGTGACAGACACATAACATATTTCCAATAAAGAAAAATTCCCAAGAAAAAAATACATGGGGGTCTGGAGGGAAGGATCAACCTTAGTTATGATGATAATGAGGGTGTTTCCCGTAAGAATAACAATGTAAATTATCAAAAATGTACCAAACAGAAATCCTTGAAGGTTGGGAACATCAGAAAACCCAATGAGGATGAATTCCACCAGTGTAGTGTGGTTCCCCAGAGGGGAATGTTGGCCTGTGTGTTCCATCTATGGACAAAATATTTTTCAGGTCTAGAGCTCAGTACAATCCTTTGGTCCTTCTGAAAGAGTGACTTATTAAGTCAATGATTCAAAGTTACTGGTATAGGATAAATACCTATTTTTTCTTGATTATTTTATATGTTTGCTAAAATAGTTCAATCCAATATGCTAAAATGCCAGCTTATGAAAACAGCAACTCTGTTATTCCTGTTCAAATATAAAATACTTGTGGATGATTTTTAAGAGTGAGAAAAAATAGATATTCATAACATGAAAACAAAACAGAGCAGGAGCCTTTTTACTAACAGCTGTAGGTTACATGTCCTCTTTTCTAATAAGATTTGCTTCCTCTTTTTTTTAAGTGATTTCTATTTACTTTAGTTTCCTGTTTATTTTCCTATTACCTTAGTACCTTTTCAGCTACATCGTTATGGTTCTTCTACATTGTACTTGATAGTTCTTCTGTGATTTTTCTAAGGCAGCTCAGGGACAGGGGGTCAGTAAGTCTCCACTGCTGGGTCCACTTCAGCCAATGTGGACCCTCTCCAATTTTGTCTACTGTAAATAAGGTGCTTAGCAAGGCCCAGGAGCACATCAAGTCAGACCTTGAAATAAAGTTAGATGAAATATGCTAACAACACACTTAATTTTACATGTTCTCCCAAAATTTTAACAGCTTCAACTATTCCAAATGCTAAAGTCTCAAGAGTATGTTCATCATTTTATGTATATGAGACAGTTTGACAAAAACGAAGAAAAATAAAAAGTATAAGAGAATTTGATGTGACCATTCAAACATGACTCTAGACAAACTGGGAAGTGTGACATTTTGATCATCTTTTTATTACTTATACAAGTATTTTGAAATCATTCTGTGATAGAATATTGTTAACACATAACGTATATATAAATATATAGTCAATATATGGCAGATATGTATATAAGATAATATCTATATCTGATTTCTGAACACATTTTGCTGTATCATCTGTTCAATAATTATTTGAGATCAAATATATTCAGTCTATCCTGCACAATGCTAAATGCAAGACCTCAATTCTTGTTCTTTCCTTCGAAGCATTTTATATTTCACTTATGTGAAACAATCCCATACGGTTTGCCACATAACCCTACATCCATACTATCATGAGTATGGAAGTACTCTACTTCCCAGACCAAATTCACTTTTCTTCCTAGAAAATACAATTTCCCTTTTTTTTTCTAGGACCAAGTTCTTCTGATCACCCACAAGTTCCAACCAGATGAACAAATTCTAATTTCTATGTTTTACATCTTAGTGCTCCTGGTTCTAAATCCCTTCAACCTCAGTTCATAGACACCTAAGTTCTGACTGTAATTTCTCACTAAACACCCTCAAGGTAATAGCTCCCTTTTATGGCTCACAAATATCAATGAACTGATCAAGGAGCAGCGGATGGTTTGTAGCAAAGAAAGTGTCATACAAATTGAATTCACTAGCCTCTGATCTTTCATTACTAATTTTGCTTCTAAGCTGTTACTTATTTTCCCCTGCTTTTTCACCTTTTGGTAGTTAATTTCCCATTTTAGTTCTTCCCAATTATGTCAAGATTTATATCACCTTCCCGACATGTAGGATTTTCATTGCAAGTTATTCCTTATGATAAACAACTAAAAAGATTGTTTGGCTTAATGACATGGGTTTATTTAATAAGTAGTCAAGTAGGCAGGCAATATGGGCTATGCATTGTAGTTCTTTATGGAATTGTTAAGGGCATATTAAATAAAAGGTGTGAAATACCAAGGGTAGTAATAGTAATCATAACATTGGCATATAATACGAGTTCAGTTATGTCTCTCCAGAGCTTACAGACCA